ATCATTTCATTGTACCATTATGTACCACATTTCAAAGTCGTTCTAAATTCAGTTAACATGCGTATTTGAAACAACTAACCAATCTTTTAACAAATGAATATGATTTTTTTGGGATAAAAAACCAAAAAAACCCCCCAAAAGTCCCTTTAAGATAACATTAAATTCAAATACATGCATAACGACAGAAAATAATTTTATGAACACCTCTAAATCAATTGTAAAATGTGTTGTGTAGAGAAAGTTCTACATGTTTCCTCCACAAATTGTTACTAAAATAGATAAAGAGACACCAAAAAGAACGTCAAAACACACAACTGAGAAAAAAAAAGAGTCCCCAAAGAAAGTCCAAGAACGGCAAAATTGAAAATGTCCAGAGCGGATCAACTGAGCCTGTTTATAGACGGAATTTGAAAATGCACGCTACATGCACCGTCCACGCTTATTAAAACATTAAAATGGTGAAATTAGAAACATCCACTAACTCTTCATCATAGATAATCAACACGTGTACAAATAGTTTTTTCCACAACCGTTTTTCATCTTGGTGCTTTCTATAAGGCGGCGTTCAATGCTAAGTTGATTTATGTTTTCCTAAAGTATCTGTTTTTTCTGCAGTAAGTAAATGATTACAAAAATTCATGCATAATTAGATCTTATTTATTCAAATTCCAGCTTAATGGGTTTTCTGAGACATTTATAGTAATGCTTGTTCAGAAATGTAGCGTTTTAAACACTAAGACAGATTATATAGCAGATAATAAATTATTCTGCAACAAAATATTATTCATCATACAAATGTTCATTCTAAATCATTTTAAAACATTATTATCATTTACTTTTCATGCAACATTTAAAAAAAAAAATCCAAATAATACATTTATATGTTTTTTATCATTTTTTTAAAGCTTTCAATACATGACTTTTTTAAGTACTTGGACATATGCAAAAAAAAGAACATGTTCTCAAGCATGCTTTTTAAATTTGTCTTTTGACGTCTTATCTGTGATATCCAGGCTTCATAACCTCTGATCCCCTTTCAATATTCCATTTTATTTAGTTCCGCCTATTGATTCTCGTTTAGGGCACACACATTTTTTTATTTGGGGACCATATGCCGCTTTTCATGGAATGGCACTTACGTGTCACATTGAAGGTTCCATGATAACAGCCAGATGAACACATCTGCGAATGTTTCAAAATTGTACCAGTTCATGTTAAATTCTGCTTAAGCCAGTGCTAGGGGGCGTGGACGGTAGTTTGTACTTGAAGGTACCGTCCATGGACAGGCTCAATCAAACCGAGTCTGCAACATTTTCAATTTTGCCGTGTTGGGCTTTCTTTCAGGATTCTTATTTTCTCTATTTTATTGGCACGAAAACGATTTGGTCTACTATCATATCAAATTAACACATCCTTTACCAAAGAGGTATTTAATTCATAATTTGTCAAATATATAAAAATATCTAATTAAAAACATGGTAATTTCAAGAAATATTTAGCTTGTTTAATTTATGGTATTTCGAGCGTTTTATAAAACATTATATAATCTATTTCGACAAATCTTTATATTGAAGGATATATTTTCCACCAACTAAATAAAGTAATCAAAGGGGCATGACCGATTTTGATAGTTGCAAGCCCAAACCTACATTCCCAATATCGTCTGAAAGTCATTCAAAATGGCTGAAAATAACATTGGGGAAGGTCAAGCTTGCGTTATGCATACCATCGTGTCATCATAGATAACACATAGTAAACACATATGCTAAAACATTTTTATTTTCTTTCATCTGCTCAAAAGCTACACAGTGGACACGAAATTGCTAATAGTCGGATAGCCGATCATGTGCATAACGTTATACGTCGCGGTATGAATTGAGTAAAAGAATATGATAAACAAGATCAACGAGGAATGGCGGTGTTTAATGAACGCAATTCCCACATACACTGTAAAAAATGGTAACGCGTTCCACAGGTGTTTCTTAACAAAACGTATGTGTTCTCGTTGTGTGCAGTATAAAAACACATGCGCTTCTTTATGGAGCGGGTGTTTATAACTAAAACAGTAATGTGCAGTGTTTAAACGGTTGGTGTTCATATTGGCATGCCTGTGTGCAAACATGAAACGTTTGTGTTTACTTTTATGTCATAAGCTCATCTCCTGTTTTGATTATTAATAACAAATAAAACAGAAACATAACAGTTAACAGAAACATAACAGTAAGGATAAGACAATACGAATGTTTAGAAATGTTTAATGCGAAAGTGTCTCTGTCTTAAACGCCGGTGTTTCAGGGGGGAACATTCTGCGTATGTCATGAGTGCCGATCAGTAACACCCTCTGATATTATCCGAGGTGTTACGAATTTAACTCCCTTTCTCCTGCTGCAGCCGAATTTTTTGGCGCAAATTTTACCTTTCATTTTTGTGTAAATTTAGCAAGGAAAACATAGAAAAACAACAGCAAAAGGTTAGTACGATGAATTTATGTATTTGTAGATCAAATTCAAAGGTTGAAAAGGCAAATCTTTTTAAGACGGGCGCAAAAAAGCATTTTCATCAACCATAAAACTGATTTCCCCACCCACTTTGGTATTTCAAGAATATAGTCAAAACATATTCAGAATAACATGCTACTGTCTTTTGATATCAATTTTATCAGGCGATGCAGATATGGGCTAGAAAGGGCGAGGCTTGTCGAGCAAATAAATCCTAACAAAGAAAATCGTCTAGCCTGTTTGTTATGATTACATGTATCATAGTATGACGTGAACATTGATGATGTCATTTGCAATATAAATTATGACGTCACTTCATTTAGTTGGAGAAAGTGGATCTAAATTAGCTTTTGTAACATATTGGATTATTGCTCTCAAATCAAAATGTTTAGGCAGTTACGGGCCTAATTAATTAAGAAATATAGACATGCTCTGTACCATTCATGCAAGAGAATATTATATCAGTGATATTTAAGAGATTCTAAATGTGATATTAAAGAGATTTTAAACAGCAGATTATGCTGTGCATAATTTCAGACGTTTTACATAATAACATATTTATACATGTAGATCTCATGAAGGAACTTGTTTATTTTAAGATGTCTAACACATTGTGACATATAATGGGAATCAAACAACATTTAATGCAATGCCTTGGTCACCAAGACCAGCACAAAATTATGATTCCAAAATTATATTGATTCCCTAATTGATAATTATTTTGTTCATACTAAGAAAGCTTAATCAAATAATCTTACCTAATAATTATCTAAAATAACTTAAAATGCAACAAAAGCCACCACTTTGCAAACTAATTTATTAAAACACTACATAGTTTAATTCTGTAGAGCACTGTCAACTGAAGTTTTCACCTTTCTGTTTTACCCCGGTCACATATTCACGGAATACGCCCACAGAAGAGCCACGGATTAATTCCGGCATCGTCCGTAGCTACCCGTACTGGTCAGTAGCTCTCCGTATTGTAACCGTAATCAATCGTAGTAGTCCTTGTATATCCGTAGCGATCCTTGACAATTTTTGAACATGCACAAAAATTTGCTACGGAAAAATCAACCGTAGCGTATCCCTACTAGTCCGTATTAATCCGTACTGATACGTACTGGTCCGTACAAAAACCGTACTAGTCCGTACTGATTCGTAGTCCACCAACTTGTCAAGGATTTCCACGGTTTGGTACGGAGAACTACGTATTTGTACGGTTACCCTACGTATAAGCTACGGTTTTAATACGGATTAATACGGCATTGTCACGGATAGCCACGATCGTAATACGTTGTACTACGGAGAGGTACGGTCTTATACGGTTTATTGCGTTGCAACACGAAGCGGTACGGAATGGTACGGCCCACCACTGTTTAGTACGGATGAATTAAGTATCATGTACTTTTTCAAGGGTATAAATACGACATTCTTGTTAAAAAAAGACATATATATTTGCAGGAACATTTAATAAATGATAACTGCAATTTACTAGCTGCAACTTTATATTGAAATGGCTCAGAATGCGGAGGCAGTGGTCGAGCTGCTTGATGACATGCATAGAAGTAAATTTATATTAATATCGTACTACAATTCATAAGAAATAAAATAACATTTAATGTTACATATTTTACAAACACTGGATCGTGAAAGTGGAGTAAATATGTACATAAAACGAAGTGTCTCATAAGCCTCGGACACTGGCCCTTGAGTGATAATAAGATTAATTAACAAGCTGTTTACATATTTTTAAAACATAAACATCACGATAATTAAGGTAATTGTAAGATGAACAGCAAATCTTAAAATTAAAAGAGAAGCAGTACTGATCAACATTTCATTTTTTTCATTAATGATTACTAGTCCATATCTAATCAGGTAAGAGAAGACAGACGAGATGTTTGACAAGAGATGGGCTTTTACGAAGACCGCTTCATGTTTAGTATGAGGCTCTCATGGCCGAACTTGTTGAGGATCCAGCGTCCATTAAGAAATTCACTTTAATTGGACCTGATGTGTCTCGGGGTTCGGACGCGATTTGGCTGAATCCTCTCCGCCAAGATCATTGAACGCTGCAATTCGTTTTCTAGGTGTTCTTTTCTTTTGAGGCATTTTGAAAATGAGCAAGCAAGAGGTTGTGGACGGATGTATTAGGTCCGTATAGATCCGTGGCAATTCGTTCTTCTCCGTATCAATACGTTCTTCTCCGTATCAGACCGTACTTATTCGTACTAACCCGTGCTTATACCGTAGCAGACCGTAGTGTATCCGTAGTGCGTCCGTCCTGATTCGTGTCGCTCCGTATCAAACCGTGTCGGTCCGTAACAATCCGTGTCTCTCCGGGGGCTTTTGGTGGTAAATCCGTCGGACTCCGTACTCATACCGTTGTGTGTCCGTACTGGAACCGTAGCGGACTACGGAATTTCACATTTCCGTAGTAATCCGTGAACGATTAGACCGTAGCTCTTCCGTGGCATTATCCGTGAATATGTGACCGGGGCATTAGTCTGTTCATAATTTTGCTTTCAGGATGACTCTAAAGTGGCAGTGCTGAAGGCTTTAGAATCAGAAACAGCTTACAGAAAAGGAAAGGACCAGAAGATTAAGCCTTTGATGCAAATAATTAAGGTAAGGGTGTTAGATATTCAAATCTTTTAATGTCCTAAAACTTCGTTTTTATGTGACCAGCTGTGATTCAGTGATTGACATGTCTGTACATCTGTGTGTACATATTTTACATCAAAACTTTGTAGGGAGTATACCTTAACATCTTATTACTATAATTATCAGCATGTCATATTTGGCATGCACACTTGTTTGATAAATAATTAATGCGAGTTTTATTTCAAAACAGATTTATGTAGGTAAACTATTCTAACAAAGAATAAATAATTTCCATGGTAGTTGTCACTTGATGATAACGTTAAAGATGCTTTTAACATTGAATGATATCTAAGTTTTATACAAATGCTAACAGTTTATTTTTTAAAAACTGATGTATAAAAATTATCAATATTTGTTTCAGCTTGAAGATGATGGGAATTTTGGGAGACTTCTTTCTTCTGCACCAGAGTCGGCACCAAAGTTGGTTGCAATTGAGAAAGATGAACGAATTGTGAACATGGCTATTGTTTGTGATGGTACACAGATTCTTCTAGAGACAGCTGATTCAAAAGAGGCCATAGCTGTGTTGATTGGTTTGGTTTACCTTACAGACCTAGATTATCCAAAGGCATATTCACAGGTTGGGTAAAACAAATTTTCAACACATTTTAATTATTATAACTCACTTCTGTTTTTAATGCTAAATTTCTATTGATCAATTATGTAATATTGTAATAATAAGTCACAAAATTTTGGTTGATGCACATGCTCATTGAAAAATGGAGTCACTGGCATCACATTATAAAATGACATTTTGCACTGTTCACACCACTGGTGAAGAGTGCTTCAAACTTCCTTCATAAAATTGCATTGACTTGTCCATGTGTATGTGATTCGTCTATCAGACTTTTATGTTTGTTTTTGTTGATGTCAGTTTTAGTGCACCAAGATCTCTTTTGCGAGTTACTTTACTTAAAGGAAAGAATCGAATTGATCTATCTAAAAAAAATAAATATCCACACCAACATAGTCCTTTCAGAAAAAGAATGCTACCGCGTGTTTTCCAGGTTTTGTGAATTTGTGTTCTTAATCACAATTTCAAAAACCTTTCCCCCAAAATTTGAATCATTACCATGTTTGATGAATAGGGATTTCTGCAACTGCTTAACTTCTTATTCTCATATGCTACTATGAATGAACTATGTATGTATACACAGGTGCGTGGGTTCCCTCAGCAAACTGAACTTCAGCAGCAGTTTGATGGGCATAAGAGCTATGGATTTGTTCAATATGTAAAGACAGTGAACACGGAAATAGAGAGGAAAGAAAAGAAGCCAGTGTGACTTAAGTGATCCAGCTTTCATAAAAGGAAAAGTTGAACTTTACTTTCATTTGGATAATTATCAGTTTACAGTTACTCAGAAGTATGCTTTACTATTCAGCACTGAGATAAGTCAAGCACGCTCGGCTGTCTTACATACAGCTCTTGTTGGACTTGGGTTAATATTATAGCACTTTGGTTAATATTATAGCAATGTTGAAAATTTGTGTGCAATTTCAAGTACTTTCATAGTTTATTGTAGGAATGACAACAAATACTGATTTTGGTATTCGAATATTTGTATAGAGCATTCAAATGTTATCCAAGATTTGAATATTCGTATAAAAATTTTATGCATCCAAATTTGTAATATGTCCATTACCAATGCACTATGATCAATAAGTTTTCCTGTTGAATTGAGAATTTTTATTCTCTTTTTTTGAGAGTCGTTGATGATGCCTTAATATGTAACTATTCACAATCTTCATCATCAGTATTTTTTAAGAACTGATTTCATAAATTAGATGTGATATTTGCCAACTGAAGGCATTATTGAGGGGTGAACATCTCATCATATTTAATGACTAGTAAATCCATAATTGTTTTATCCTATGTTTTGTTACAAAGATAAATTGTTTCATTAACTGTAGTTTTTTTTTGGTTTGCAAGTAAATCAAAAGTTACTAAGTACATACTTTTTTATTATATTTATTTATTTTATGTTTATCACAGACTGTACTTAATGCTGATCATGAATTATTAATATATTGCTTCTGATCAACTATGTTAATTACAGAGGATGACTGTTGCACAATCCATTTATATAAATAGCACAAGATTTCATGAAAAAACACACATATTTTATAAAAAGCGAATGATTTTAACCAATAGAAATCTGGCTATTTTAGTACAAATTAATAATTTCATATTTCTTGCAACAGATGTTTGATGATGTCATAATTTTTAGCTTGATTATTTAAAAAATGGGAAGGCAATAGCTTAGCATTTAAGTGTTGCATGACACAATGTTAAGTTTTTTAGACAAAGAAAGACAACCACTTCTGATATTTATTTGGAACTCCACCACACATGTTATGTATGTAAATATAAGTTCACATAAAAAGACCAATAACTCTGTTCTGCATTTTTACTTAATGATGTTCCTTTTAGAAAATTCTGCATATGTAAAATTATGTATTTTTTGTGTGAAAGATGTATCTCCAGTCATAGAATTTTAGCCGAAACTTTGTACATGTGTTAGATACGAAAATATTATTTACCAATACCCATTCAAGGTAATTTGATTGAAATATGCCTCATTTCGGAGTAAATGCATTGAGAATAGTGCAGGCATGTTGTCGCTGTAACAGCTCATTTCATGCTTGTGTTAAGCAAAGTTTTATTCTTGAATTATGTTAAATTTAAAATGAAAAAACTGTATCATGTTATAATAAATAAATTCCAAAAATACTTCATTAGCATTTTTTGTAGTTACAATAGGCTGTACATGTATTTCCTTATTTGTTCTGATCTTACCTGAACATATACAGTAAACACGTAATGCATTTGAAATTGAAATATGTGACATGTTTATCAGGAACGCTTTGAAAACAGCACACGTGGGTTCTGAAACATGTTGCAAGTTCCAGTTTGAAACACCAAACGTGTTTACTGTACATGTTCAGGTGTTCCCAAACTGTAACATTGCAAGTGTTCTGCTATGAAACATGTCACATGTTTCAGTTTGAAACACCAGGAAGCGTGTAAATCAGGAACATTTGTGCGTTTATTCGTGAACATGTGACGTGTTCCATTTTATAGTGTTTCCAAAGTGTAACAGGAAAAGTGTTTCGAAATGTGTTTAAAACTTAAACGCCCGTTTTTACAGTGTAACCCAGCAACAAGAACAAGTGGCAAGGAGCCAAGGCGGACCCCAAACAATAACAGGACAGGGCACAAGGAAAAGCACGGACAGGCTAATCACTAAAAATAATAAATAATTTGTAACTGATAAGGAATTCAAAGAAAACAAATAAATGATTGAAAAATAGTCCCAAGCCAAATTAGTCTGTTTTCTTAGTTTGTGGTCATTTCATTACTAATTGTCAACCAGATCCAAGGAATTTTATGGTGAGCACGTTCATAACTTTAGAATACCGTGCTCCATCATATCTTTGAACAGATTTATAAGTTGAAGAAAATTTTATCATCTATGCTTTGTAATTTGCAAATAATAATAAAGTTTAACACAATTAATTAATAATTGAATAGATAAATACAGAATCCCTAAAGAAAGTCCAACACGGCAAAATTGAAAATGTTGCAGGCTCGGTTTAATTGAGCCTGTTCATGGACGGTACTGGAAAGTACAAGTTACCGTCCACGCCCCCTGACATTATTCAACGAAGAAAACTAACATCTGCCGTTGCTTTTTTTCTGTCCAAGCGTTGTACTAACTAGGCAATGCAGAAATAAAATGTTGTTGCATGCAGAAAGCATTGAGGTCAGGATATTTTTTCTTAGAGAAACCGCTTCGGAAACAGACTTTTCATCAGAATATATTCAAACATCAACACAGTGCCAAATATGGTTCCGAGAGATCACTCGTTTATCCAGATTTTTTATCAACGAACTGAGTTCACTCTTCAAACTTAACTTACCACCTAGTAATATTTAATATAGTAATACGCTCGAGTGATTTACTTAATGGCACAGATAAAACCATAGATAATGGGCAATTTCCTAACATAGACTTTGTTGTGATTAGCCTATTAAACATAATATTATTTCATTTAAACATTAAAATCACATTTGATAAAAGAATAAGTAACACAATAGTTTCTATTGCACGTTTTCATTCTTACTTTTTTCACCGAAAATGGTCAATTACTCGAACATTGTTTGACAAATGGGTATGTACGATTTTTACAAATGATGCAATTCTTTAAACAGGGAATCTTGTTCATTTTAATATTTCAATTAGGATATTAACCAAATAACCTGCTGCATGTGATCTTAAATGGAACAGCTATATAAAATAAATCAGAATAAACGCATTCCTGTCTAGACAGAAAATTTGATATCTAGATATATTGTTTCTTGCTAAATACGATATAAATTGATATTTTCAGTCAAATGATTTTTTAGTAATTGAACTGTCTGAGACTTATGTTATGTGATACTAAATTGCAAATTGAAATGTCTACGGTTACTTGAAATACTTAACATAAACGATTGATTTAGTTTGATATTTTGAATTTACGATGTTATTGCATTAACTGCATGTTTTAAAATCTGGAAGCAAAGTGATCCCTCGGAAGCATTAATCACAACAACATTACAAGAGAACTGAGAGACTCGGACGCATAGCTCGCAACAAAAATACGTGAAAAATGCAATGACACCGAAAGACCAGGTTAACGAACACGAATTGTTCAGGTCCTCCTTGATACCAGTACTAAAAAGTGTTGAGAATTGAGTACCGCACAGCCGGTGCTAAGGGGCGTGAGGGATGCTGCACGTATTCATTATCCCTCATATCAAGACTCAATCAAACCCCACACGACCCATCAACAACGACAAGGAGCATCCAAAAACAAAACAGGACTTTGCACAAGGCAGAGCACGGACAGGAAAATCACTTAAATAATATATAAAAGATATATAATAGTAACCGACAAGGAAATTGTATACAAGTTATCTCTCATGTACAGACTCAATCAAACCGAGTCTGCAATTTTCATGTAATTTTGTTGTGACTAATGCTTCCGAAAGACAACACTTTTTACACCTTTCTGTTATAGTGGTTTACTTCTGACGAATTGATAAAATTAATCTAATTGTAAATATAAAAGCTTATCGATTAAGATAAATTGTAGTGTAAACTTAACGTAGAAACGAAGGAGATTAATTAAGGAATGTAACGAATACAACATATTCGCGACAATGGCGTGCTATAACATGTACCAAGAATTATAAATGCTATAAAAACAACTGATTAAGCATTCGTTATTTCAAAACAAAAGAAAAATATTTGATCATGAATTAAAACAAGGTTTTTTTTAAACTCTTTTCAGATACACATTTATTTCCTTTCATAGTTCATGTAAATATTGAAAATCATGCGTAAAACTTACTATTTTGTTTTTGTGTGACTTACTATCCAGAAATTGTTCGTTTTACTTACAATACATCTGCAAAGAATTTTTTACTCTACAGATCGATCAGCAAGATTTTGTGATTTTATATGGACTTCTACCATACACGATGTCAAAATTATGATTGGTTTTGTCTTTTAAATGAAGGAAGAAAGCTTATTTTCATTAATTTTAGTACAAAATTACACCATCTCGATTGAATAACTTATGCTGCATCTGCACACAATTCAATGTTCTCGAAAACCATGAAACGTAGGACAATACACTTAATATTTAAAATTAAAGAAAGTTACCGTGCATATGATAGGTCAGGTCTAGTTTAGATTTAGGAAACGTTTCACACCTGGATTTATAAAAATAATGAACTTATCAAGGCTCAGAAGTCGCCATTACTCGTTTGTATTAGTATAAAAGTCACGTCACTCCCCTCCGTGAACATAGTATTTATTGATAATGAAATCGAGATCATGGCAGAGAGGTGTATTAATTGATGGTTTTGAAAGTTTTCGGATACGGGGTTTCTTTTGGACGTAAATGATAGGTCTGATCGTTACAATACCATCAAATGAACTATGCATTTTTCATATTTGTTTTACAAATGTTGGAAGGTGACGTTTGTCTTAAAACAAGCTCAGTTGGTAAAGGCTGACTTGAGCTAAAAATGCGACAGAACAAAACAAGGACAGGACACCAAACATCAGTGATGTCCGAGAGGTGACACCAACAAAATGCGCAACAACTGATTACCGAGAAAGATTTCCATTAGAGACATTCCTTCAATATGCACTTAATAAAATGCAGTTGACTGGTAAAAGCAACATACATACATATGATTATTTGACAATGTCTGGGCAAATACATAATA